CATCAAATCAGATAGGGAAGGACCAGTGATAGGCTGTTTCAAACTAAGATGGACTTTAGATGGATCCTTTCCTTCAGGATGCTCAGAGGAAGCCGCTAGCACTTTACAAGTGCACTGTGGTGGCTATGTTTGGTTTGTTATATGTTGCCCAGAGAAGTTGTGGATGCCCCATCCCTGGAAGTGTTCAAGGCCAGGTTGGATGAGGCTTTGGGCAACCTGGTGCAGTGGAGGGTTTCCCTGCCCATGGCAGGGGGGTTGGAACTAGATGATCTTTAAGGTCCCTTCCAACCCAAACCAGTCTGTGATTCTATGTTATTAAGCAGCTCTTCAAAGCTGCCCTATCCATTGAGAAAGAGCACGGCAGCATACATACTACTCTAGGTAGCCCATTCCACTGTCCTTAAAATGGGACAGATTACTGCTTGTCCTAAATCTTCTGCTGCGAATTAAGCTGATTTCTTCTGTCTCTTTCTACAAGACACAGTGAACACCTGCCTACTGTCTTTTCTAGAATTTGTCTGTTATCATGCTGTGCTTTGATTTGTGTTTTCTCTAAATTAAACAAACTCAACTGCTTCAATCATTCCTCACAGATCATGTTTTCTTTGCCCTTTATTGCTCCTTTTTCCCCCACTCTGCCCACTTTGGTTTTTGTAAGCTGACCAATCCTCCAGCTAAGACCAAACTAGCACAAAATACAGGAGGAACAGCTACGGTTTGATGTCTTATCTGCTATCCTGTAGCTAACACATCTCAGCTCTGTTTTTTTCACCACACAATAATATTGTACCAACTCTAGCTATTTTTCTGGTTTGTAAGTAACATATATGATTCCCCTTGCTAAGCATAGTGCTTTTCCCTTGTCTTTTTTGAATTTTATATTTCAGATCGGCCCTTCATCTTATTGGTATTATAGTGAATCTTCAAGTACATGTTACTGATAGCATTTGTGATCCCTTCTAGCTTGCTGCCATTTGAGAAATTAACTGTATTCTCTGATGTCCTTCTTCTAAATCATTCTGGATAGTTCAGAATAAGCAAAGCTTGAAGCAGATCACTACAGGATGCCACCTACTACACTGACCTTTCAGAAAAAATTAGTATTCCTTTCATTGACTTTTTAACTCATTCATGTAGCCCCTACTTCATGATTGCTCTCATTTTTATCATATAGGATGGTGTCAATTATCTTACATCAAGCTATAGTCCATCTGTTATTTTTCCAGTCAGCTACTGATAAGTCAGCCACTCTGATAAAGGAATTTTTTTTTTAGTTTCCCAGGTGATTATAAGTCACTGTTAACAAATTTACTTCAGACTCTCTTCAGGATGAGAGATAGGCTGATTGAGCTATGATTCTTTGCCCTCCTTTCTTCTGGCTATTCATGCTGATGATATAAAACATCCACTCTGCCCTTTCCCAATGCCACCTTCATCATGAGGTTTTCAAAGACAATTCAAAAACAAAACAAAGATTCTGCAATTAGGAGAATTGAATTACAATGAGTTCTAGACAGAATGTCATGACCCTTAAACACATCTATTACCTACTCGATCTGGTCTTTTTCTATTATGATCTGCATTCCTACATCTATGCTAAAAGGCAGTTTCATTTTAAGTAAACAGTCACAACTAGCCTTTTCTTGGGGAAGAATTCTCTTTGCTGAATACCTAAGCTGTCTCTACATTGTTATTTTCCATTTTTAGCTTCTAGATAATAGAAGAGCAATGAGAGGAACTGAGTATTCATTTTTTCATCGTTTAAAACTTTCCAGACTGTGGAGGTACTCACAACAAGCTCAGAAATGCAAAAGACTCACTGTCAAAAATCCCCTTGACTTCAAGAGGGTCAGAACTTCTAAGATGTTTCCACTTTTTTTTTTTTAAATCCATTTATATTTTGTTACTGATCTATCATCTCAGATGTTCTTGTTAATTTAGTAAGGCATTGCAGCTTAAACAACAGGAGGAGAAGCTTAAAGAAAACATAGCTACCAGCTGAGCTTTGCTGATCAGATTTGGCAGCTTTAAAGCCAATTAATTTTCTGTTCAAACCTCCTTCAGTAAAACTGGAAAGCGGATAGTGATGGGATGGGTGCCAGCTGAGTTTCATGTGTAGCTCATTCCTCAGACAGAATGAATGAGCTTTTAGTTTCCCATCAGAAGAAGAGAGTAAAAAATTTGGTTTATTCCTGCCAATAAATACCAAAATACATGAGGCAATCAGTGTAGAAACATCATTAGCAGGGTAGACAAATAGGAAAAGAGTAGAATCTTATTTTTTAATGGCTTAGAAGAAAAAACAGTGTGTAATGAGTATTCCCACATAAATAGATATTGAGTGGAGCACTGAAGGGCAGCCAACAGAAAAACACCCTGTATTTTTAGCCAGCAAAGTAGCTATGGAAGGCTCCCTTTTAAACAGAAAGAAATGTATGTATGAAAGCAACCAGTAAGTGTGTATTTCCATTGCTGAAGCATTTTTTTAACTTGAAAAGAGAAGAGACTCGTTTATTTTCAATGGATGTTTTAAACTTTCTGAACTTACCACTTCAAGCTGGAACTTTATAAAATTACATATTTTTGTTCCTTTTACGTGGTCAGAGTTTATTTTTATATATATCCTCACATAAATTTGCGCAGCAAAAACAGAAGCTTTGTTGCTCTTACCAATTTAAAAATGATTTTTCTATGATGCCTATTTCAAAAATCTTACAAAGCTTTGAATTACTTCCCTTTAATAAGCATAACCACACTGTTCATAATCTCAGCTAGGTTACTACAGCCATACTTACTGATTTTACTTTCAATATCTCTTCAAAATCCAAAATCCCCTATCACAGAGACCTCACTCTAAATTATAGCATGTAATGACAATCAGCTACACAAATCAGTGTAGAAAAACAAGAGTCATTATTTAGAGAGGTATGTCTTGAATTTAATCACACTTGAATGCCAGACTAAACAGTTCTTCATTCTTCTAAGTATAGTTTTACTAATTTTTATTGGATTTTATGAAGTTTTTAAATGGAGCAAACTGCTGCAACAGTAACACTATGGGTCTGTGCCCTCTTGATCCCCTAAGGGAAGAAACTTAGATTATGTGACCCAACAGTTTTCTAAGTTCTGCTTCTTAATAATATTTAATACTAGACCCAAAGGTTTGAAACTTGGATATATAGCGACATAAACTAAATCTAGATGATCTAAATCCAGTCGATCTGAAAAAGTTGCATAATTTTCCTAAGCACAAACAGATAAAATGAGCAAGATTCTGACTTTGCTAGCAGGCAGATATTTAACAGTAATGAAATTTGTGTATTTTTTCTTTAAAGGCTTGCATAAATAACCATAGATAAATTCCTAAATTAAGACACTTTGTAGGTGACAATTTAAAACTCTGCTTTTTGTCATCTTTATAGATGATTGTAGATTTTAGAAACACTTAGCACAATACTCTAGAAAATTTAATTTCCAAAATAATCTTCTCTTTTTATCCCACTTTCTTCTGTTTAAGCAGCATTACGAAGACTGACTACAAAATGAGATGCAATTATCAAGAAAGAGACTGGGTAAAATATGATGTAGACTCGTGGCAGGATTTTTTAAAGTCTTTAGCATCTAAAGACGCAGATAGGCACCTTATGGGATTTTCAAAAATTCCTGAGCATGTAAGGCGCTTACATACTTAGGCACTTTGAAAATCCTACTAAGTACATATCTGCATCTTTAGGTATCTAAATACCTTGGAAAATCTCACCCTAGATGTCCAATTTCCCCAATTATTTGTTTTAAATAGTATCAGTTTGTACATTTGCTGTGACTTTTATCTAATAAAAGGGGGAAAGGAGGATTGATTAAGTCTGAAAGGATTTAAAGAGAAAATTAATACATAGTACTGGGGTAGAGATAACTGTGTCTTATGCTAGCAACAGGACAATCTAGTACTTTTCTTTATTACATTAGCCTCACAATTTGTACAAATGATGCTTTGTGCATTTTACATTTCATCTTTTCCTAAGAGAGTCAAATGACAAGAAAGAAAAAGTGTTCAAAAAACTCCATAAGCACTGTTAAACAAACTGGATAATACAAAAAACTATTGATGCATCGAAATAACAAAACAAGAGAGCAGTGTAATTCTAGATTATGTAAACACTATCCGCTTATTTATTGGCATTACCAGCAAAGTTTTGATGATATGCTTTTACGTTTATATCAAAATGGCCTTGGTTTCATTTGAAAAGCTGTGGAAGTATTAAAATATATTTTCAAATTAAGATTTTATACATTTCCCAAAGTAGTACTCTTAATAGAACTCTCTTATTTCTAAACTGATCTTTTCAATCTATTTATATTCTGAGACAAAATGGAAGTAAGATTTCAACTACATTCTACTAAGATTTTTAGCACCAAAACATTTTCTAAAGTGGAAAGGAAAAAAACACCACAGAAAATGGCTAATATTAAATAATCTGAGGTCCTTTTCCACCTACATTGCAAAATTGTGTTTCATAGAAATTTTTCTATACTATGTTCTAGAGTAGTGACAATAAGAGAAAAAAAAACATCCTTAGAATTGAGATTAGAAATACCATGGCTGCTTCTGAATTCTGTTGCATTGAACTTCCAAAGCTGAGAACTGCAAAATTCATTCTACTTTCTTTTTCAAATACTTCAAGTATTTTCTCAGGATGGAAGCATAGGGACAGCCTAAGCAATGGTTCAACAAGTAAAAAACTCTTTTCATGTGTAGAATCTCTTGGAGTCATAGGATTTAAAATGGATATTTAGTATTGGTTTTTACTAACCATCACTACCCTATGCATTGTATCTACTTATTCAAAAATGCAAGTTGCTGCTTAAATTGTTGAAAGTTTCCTGAACTGCTAGAAATATTTATATAAGACAGTTATGAAACATTCATCATAGTTTGTATTTTAATACACAAAATACACTACTAGTTTTGCTCTGCATTTCTGCAATCCAGCAAGCTCCATTTAGCTTTGCAGAGTATTTGTGATCACAGTAAATCTCTGTTTCAGGCTCTCCCTTTTCTGTTTTAAGTGAGTTTCTATGGTCCTTGCTTCTTTTAAGATTCCATCAAGTTCTTTGACATAAGAAGCATCCATCGCTGCTCTCTCACTTAATTGAAAAAGATCTGTAGTTAAAATCAATACCAACACCCTTAACTTTCTCAATACTTAGAAGTGCTTTTATACTTTTCTTAAAAATTCATTGTCTATCAAAACCTAGTTTCTGCCCAAATTAGTTCTCTGTTGTAACAGAAAACAGCATTTTTATTTCAAGATCTGTGTTTGATAGTTTTCAGTGCTAATTTCTCTGAACTGCAGCCACAGTAATCCATCTTATGCAGATAAGTTAGAAAAGTCCTGTACAAATAGAACAAAGTTAACTTGCCTTAAAATGTGAGCATATTTTGATAACAAGTTCATAATTTCTTTGTTCATCTCTGTAAAAAGAAAAAAAGTAATTTTATTTAAACATTTGAATGAATTTTCATCGCAACATCAAATCAGGTAATTATGTCATTACTTTCAGTATATTTAATACATCACCGTTTAAAATTTTCGGTTCAGGTTTGTAAAGAGACTGCAAGCCCTCAGAAAAAGCCAAATCTGTTTCATCAGGGGAGGACAACTGAGGATTTTCTGAAACTTTCCCTTAATAACAAAGCACATAAAAAAAAAAATAAAAAAAATACAGGTTCTAGAATTTAAAACAAGCTTAGCACAGACAGAGTTTAACTGAGAAAAAAAAGTTTTTAAAAAATCTTGAAAGACTGTTTTCAGGGAAAGTGCAAGTGTTGTTGGCTTTACAGCATCAACACCACCCATCATAAACAAGCACAGCATTTAGGGGAGTGGGTGGGAAGTACCAGCTTGCAATCTTTGCTTGTACCAGTAAAAGCCGGTGTACTTCAGCAGCTCCCTCTGAAGAAGTCCTACCTAACTGCATTGCAGCACATACCCAATTTGTTGGTCTTCAAACACTAAGAGAAATTTTACAGTCTCCTCACACAAGAAAGTCATATATGCTTCCTCTCACCTACATAAGCTGGCGCGGAGCGCCCTGCCCTCTCTCCTTGACAGGAACCCCTACTAAAGCCAGAGAAGGAGGCTGGGGTGAAGGGGTCACATCGCTCCCTGGGGCCAGAAGAATCACAGAATGGTTTGGGTTGGAAGGGACCTCAAAGATCATCTAGTTCCACCCCCCCTGACATGGGCACCCCCCACTACACCAGGTTGCCCAAAGCCTCAAAGAAGGGTCTGGTCCTCCCTCGCTTTGCTATACAGTACCGCTCACCTCCATCTCTTTTTTTCGTTTACTTCTATTTTCATCATATTTTTGTGTGTTGCTTGCCATTGTTGCCTGGTAAAAAGTACAACATCATATTTGGTAAGTGGCCATCTTCTGCAACTGGAAAAATGTATCTGTATGGAAATGTGTAAAGCCTGTAACCCATACCTCTGAGCTCCTTTGCAAAGGATCCGCAGCTTCTCGTCACTGGAGAGAGCGCTGATGGGGGCCGGGACAGCGGGTCCAAGCCCCGGGCGCA